CCCCCGCCCGTCCCGCCGGCAGCGGTCTCGTCAGGTGGATGCTCCGGGAGGAGCCGCTCCCGAGAACCGCAGGAAAAGTAGACGAGGGCTGGAGTGAATAGCCTTTGATGCTGCTTAAAAATCGAGTGTCCGGCTAAGAGATGAGCAGCTATTCGGCAGGATGTGCAGCACAGCTGGGGTGTACTCTGCCCCAGTGTTCTTTGGTTTGGTACAAGCACTAAAGTCTGGTCACCTCTGTGTTAGACTCCACTGGTTTGGAGTTCAATGATCCTGCCTGAAGTGCACGAGAAATAAGGGTGTGCAGAGCTGTAGATGTTCAAAAGGTTTTTTGTCCCCAGTTTCAGCTACCTTAGCCTGTCAGGCAGGCAGGCAGGCAGGCTGCTGGAGGGAGTGGGTCATTTCCAGGATGCAGCGCAGGGTATGGCAGGTGATGGCAAACCCCTGGGCTCCGTTTTGGGGTGATCAGAACCAACCCCTAGTTTGTTGTCTGAAAAAGCCATCTGCTAATGCATCTCTGACTAACCCTTTTCAATTGTATCCTTGTGCAGGCTGCACATCACAAGTCAGACCAGGTCTGTAATGGCTTATCCCTTCTAAATTTCACTCCTTGGTTGGGTGAGAAGCTTAGTCCTAATGTTTCCTTCCCACTTCTGAGGATTGGGAAGATAGTGTGACTGCTTACAGAGGATTACCTTGCTTGTGCATTATAGACCTGGAAAGTTACCTTAAAGCTGGCAGGACCACCAACATTTTTCTGTCTTGTTGCTTTTGAGAAAGGACATTGTTTTTAGGGAATTCTTCCAGTGAGATTGGAGGGAAGGAGAGGAGAGACAGATGCAGTGTGGGCTTTTGAATTATTACACGGAAGTGCATTAGAAGAGAGTTCTTCACTTGTAGAATGGCTTTAAATGATGGAATTACTGAGAAAGTGTCTTTGATCATAGTGTGGCATAAAATAAACAGCATGTGGGGGAAGACTCTTCCTGTCTCCCAAGTTTTTGTGTTCTGCAGAGTATGGAGGGGGTGTCTCTTCTCTCTTTTTGACCATCTGTGGTGTCTGGGGGTAAAAAAGACCCATCCCTGATAGTATTTAGTAAGAATAAAGCTTAGGTTTCAAATGTAAGTTCAATTACAACAATAGTGTCTTTCTCCCAGTGCTGTGACATCATATGGATTTCTGCATCCTCCGGATAACTGACCAAACACACCAAGATGTGTAGGAAGCAGTGACACATTCCCCTCTCAATTCTGAACTCCTTAAGTCATGTTTAACTTCCTCCTTTTGTTCAGATGCCCCATCTGGAACTTTTCAACAGAATCTGGGAGAAGGAGGTTGTGAGCCCTGTGCTGGTGTCTGGACATCTCCCTCCTTTGTTGTGTGTGAAATACCAGGTCCCTGAGTCAGAATGCCCAGCTGGAAGGCTGCCTTCTGGCTGAGGAATTCTGCACTTCCACAACTTTTTTATTCCACCGTGGGATCACTTCAAATATCTCTCACCAGCAGAGATTTTTAAGGACACCTTGTAGCCTTTTTTTTGCATTGTCAAATACAGGTTGAAATTGGTCAAGTTCAGAGTTGTTCTGAGGCAAAGATCAGACAAACCCAGGCATTCCTGCATCCAAATCCAGTGGGGTTACAAAAGCTTCCTTTTCTTTGGAAACAGTGCTAAAATGGTCTTTCCATAAGGCCAAGCCTTTAACAATTGTGGCTAATCTCTATTTGTGATATCATACATAAGAAGGAATGAATATGGAGCTGGGGGAAAGAGAAATATGGTCACAAGTCCAAACTAGGCGGGTAAAATACTGCAAATGTTTTCTTTGGCATTATTCTGCTACAGTAACACCCTGAACATTTTTCTTCAGAGCATTTGCCTCAGACTGTTCCTCGTTCAGAGAAGGGCATGGAATCATGTACTGCATTTTATTAGGAGGGAAAAATCTATTAAAGCAGATTATTTAATTTCAGAGTGGCTGAAGCAATCCCGATAAAGTGATGTCTGACAAGAGTTTTTAATGTAAATCTGGAACAACGTCAAACAACCCCCCTTTTTTTTTAAATCTCTAAAATGTTCATCTTTATATGTGACTATGCTTTGGGGAATAGGGAGCCTAGATGTGTAATAATTAATTATTTAAGTGAGAGTACAAGTTCTGATGTACCTTGCAGTTTTATTCAGGTGAATATTTCTCTGGGGAGCGAGATCATCAGGAGAGCACTTACGAGCTTTGCCCAGGTTGGGAGCTAAATTACTCTGATATTTAGCATGAAAATTAATTAAGCACCTGAAACTTTTATGCTGTGTCAGAAGTTAGTCTTTGAACACCTCAGACTAGCTCCAGGTCAGCTTTGGCTGGACAGCAGCTCTGTTTGAAGCACTGTGCTGTTACAACGTGCCAGATCTACACAAGCAATTATTTATGCCTCGCTTGAGTGCTTAAATATGATTTTGTGGCTTGTGTAAGGGTGATTGTATAACACCAATTCCTTTAGACACTTCTCTGCCATGATAATCTTTCTCTTGAAGGATATCAACCAGAAGCTGCAAGAGGATAACCAGGAGCTGAGGGACCTGTGCTGCTTCCTGGACGACGACCGACAGAAGGGCAAGAAGGTGTCCCGGGAGTGGCAGCGGCTGGGCAGGTACAGCGCCAGCGTGATGCACAAAGAGGTGGCCCTGTACCTTCAGAAGCTGAAGGAACTGGAGGTGAGACAGGAAGAAGTGGTCAAGGAGAACCTGGAGCTGAAGGAGCTGTGTGTGCTGCTGGATGAGGAGAAGGGCGGCGGGGCCGGGAGCCGGAGCTCCATCGACAGCCAGCTCAGCCTGTGCCAGCTGACGGCGCCCAGCGCCTACATCCGAGACGTGGGGGACGGCAGCAGCACCTCCAGCACGGGCAGCACAGACAGCCCCGACCACCACAAACACCACCCCAGCACCAGCCCCGAGCACCTGCAGAAGGCTCGGGGGGAAGGCAGCCCCGAGCACCAGAAGCACCGGAGCATCAGCCCCGAGCACCTGCAGAAGCCACGCGGCTCCGGCAGCCCTGACCACCACCTGAAAGGGCCGAGCCCCGAGCACCACAAAGCCGTGGTCAAAGTCCCCGACCAACAAAAGCACAGCAGCAGCAGCCCAGAAACTATCCCAAAGCACATGCTGAGTAGTAGCCCTGAACACTTTCCAAAGCAGAGGCCTGGTGGCAGCCCTGAGCACCAAAAGCACAGCGGTGGCAGCCCAGACCACCTCCAGAAGCACACGCCGAGCGGGAGTACAGAACACCTGCACAAGGTGAGGGGCACCAGCCCAGAGCACCTCAAACAGCACTATGGAGGCAGCCCCGAGCACCTCAAACACCTCAGCGGAGGCAGCAGGGAAGGGACCCTCAGGAGACAAGTGACAGAGGACCTGTCCCCTCACCACAGGAGTATTTACAACGGAATGAATGGTGGGTCAATGCTTCTGGTGAAAGCTCTCTTTGAAAATTCCTAAGGTAGTTCCAGTGCTATTTCAGGAGGAGGAGTGATGAAATGTTTCATTTCATTGATGTGAAACGAAAGGTAACGAGCCTGGTGTCAGCATTGTTCCTTTAGCAAGTGATTTAATTGGAGTAGCCCTGTTTGTCCATCCAGCACGTGTTGGCTAAATTGAAAAAGTAGGGGAAAAGTGCATTTTGAGTGCTGGTGCAAGACACCAAGGAGCAGCTCCTGGCCCCAGCCCTGCTCTGTGGTTCGTAGATGTAAACTGTTTGTCCCCAGATGGGTTTCTGTTTGCATCAGGGAGGAATTGCATTATGTTCTGTGTCCTGCCTGTATCTGAGTCAGCAGAGTGGAGCTGGATGTCTCCAGTTTCCTTTCCACCTTCCTCTAGCTTTAAAGATTTTAGAATTTCCTGTCTATTGATTGAAGGCTTCTTATATCCTTTTCCATAAGCTTTGGAGAAGACCCCAGGTGAAGAGTAGGGTCAATAGAAATGAATCTGATAGCTCCTAAAGCTTTTCAAAGCCCGGAGTTTGCATATTTTTAACTATAACAAATTAAAAATTAAGGAAGATCTGAAGGGGTTTCTTTGCTGTTGTTATTGCTGCCTTTTAGAAAGTTTTCCAATAAACATGCCAAGCTTTTAAGAGCTGCGTATCCCCACTGATTGGGATTAATTTCTATTCTTAGGATAGTCACAATGTAAGTATTTTGTTATTCTGAGAGTCAAATGGTTACAAAGTTCACTGCTGTAGAAACAACTCTTTGTAGACTTAGCAGAATTTCTGTAGCCTGCTCCTTTTGTTTCCTCCATATGCTTTGAGCTGTTTCCATGAAGGAAATTAGTGTCCTAGTGGAAAACTCTTCTCCCAGACCCGAAGTGGTAAGTGTAGAGACTTCTCTCTTTGATTTTAAAGTGATTAATAAGGTGAGTGCGTGACAAGTATGTGAAGATGTGTAACACAGCAATTACTGAAGTTGGCCTTACACAACTTCCATTAAATACTGTATTCCTTCTCCATTTTCTGTTTAAAACTGACCTTACTGTAAGCACCAAGTGTGGAACCAGACCTCCTTAGAGCACCACGATGTTCCTCAGTCCATCACCGAGCCAGTAGAAAGGTGATCTAAGGTTTTAAGTGTGTATTTTTCAAATCACACCCGGGTGAAGATATGGTTTTTCTGTTCCCAGCATGGTGGGTTTTTGGATTTTTCTGTTGTCCAAGTACCTTGTCAAGGCCCGTGTTGCCAACAGTGCAGTGAGAGCAGTTGTTACTTTAATCCTGAGCTGACTGGCATCCTTTGTGCAGCATATTTCATCTGTCTACAGTTTGGACTCGGGCCACAAGGTGCTGGAGAGGGCAGCTGCTGCTCTGGGAGGCTGTTTATTGACTTTAATCACAGCTCTGCCTGCCCTACACTTTATATAATCACTTTTACAGCAAGTCCTCTTTGGTTTGACAACTCCTCTCACCAGTACCTTGTCAAACTTCTCTTTTTCCATATTTATACAATCTGATGCAAACTTGAGGTTTAACTCTGGCATTCATCTGACCTTGGTCAGTGGTAAAGCTCTTGACAGCTCTGCTGTGAGGAAGAGGCTTTCAACTTCAGGGAAATACTTGGTCTTCACAGCAAGGCTGAATCCTCCTGGGTGTTTGGGGGTTTGATTTTGTGGGGAGCAGGTAAAATGGAAATGGTCCAAGTGCTGGCCATTAGCACTGGCTATTGCTGTGCAAGTAATGTGTGAATCTTAGTTTGCCTGTTCTGTGTCTTCCTGAACCTGCCAGCTGAGTGTAGGGGATGGAAATCCTGATCTTCTGCATCTGTGGTGAGGAGTGGGGAAACTGTGACAACCTGAGTCAGAAAGTGGCCTGGAAACGTGGCCCTCAACTCTGATGAGAAATGCAAAAGGACCATATTTTGGGTTCTTATCCCAAAATCATGTAGTAAGTATTCAGTGTCCCCTTGGCCCCTAGTTTGTTTTAAAATTTGGAGTGTATCTAGCCAGGAGATGTTTGACTGCCCATCTGTGTGATGAGTTTGCAGGGCACTTCCGACCTTACTGTGGTACCTGAGGAGTGTTGTGTGAGCAGCAGGAGTGAAGTGCTGGTGACCCTGAGTGACAGACAGCAAACACAAATGCCTTTTGAATAAAAACAACGTATTTTAACTCAGCAACCAGAATTTCCAGACTCGGGACAAGCCTGGCCCACCTCCCTTGGCCTGGGCTGGCCTCTCTTGGTGCCCACAGGGCAGTGCCGGGTTCTGTGCTGCCATGTCCCCTCTGCCAGGCTCTGCACTGTCCCCAGAGGTGTGGGGGGGTGCATTAGGGTGTTGGCAGGTTCCTGACAGCTCCTCAGCTCAGTCCCAGCAGTTGCAGCCCAGCGTTGCAGTGCGTCAGGAACAGGATGTGCAGCTTTGCAGGATGTGCTCATGCATTAATCATTTGGGCCTCATGCATGTTTTAAGCTGTCACGAGGTGTGCGGGAAGTTACCTCAGCCTTTGGTCCACAGGCACAGCTGAAGGAATGAGGGATGAGGTGATAACGTTTCCTTTCATAATTCTGCTCATTTTCCATGCTCAAAGGTTTGATCTTGGTTTTTTTTTTTCTTGTATGACATGTCAGCTTTCATTTATAAGATTTATAAGGCTTTTAAAAAGTCCTGCTTCATGGTTCTCCTACATATTTTTCTCAGATAGGTGTCCTCAGCCTTTGGAGTGACAGAAAATGGGATGGGAGAGCTAAATTTGATGGCTGTTAATTGAAAACACCTGTATTTAATTTTTAAGGCCTTAACCAAATAAAACACGATAACGATCTTTTGCTGTAATCACACCTAAATGTTCTGGGTAATGAGAACAGAGATGTTTGGGATAGAAAGATTGCTGAAATTAGAAGGGAAAATGCCAGCAGTAAAAACATTTTGAAGAGAATTTTAATGAGACCTAGAAGACTACATGACAATTTAACTCTGACAGATATTTGGGGTGTAAGTGCCTCTATGTAAATTGATCTGCTTTCAGCATTTGCAATCCTAGTGCTGTTTTTTCAGTCTAAGCAATTTATTCTCAACTTTCTATTTTAAGAAGTCCTTTGTTTTACTCTGAGCTTTGACTTTTGTGTGAAAGGAAAGTATCCAAAGGGTTTCACATGTGCCTCTTGCTTCCTGCTGAGGCTGTTAATGAAGAGAAGTAAAACTGCTGACTAACACCTCTCATACTGCTGGAGGTGTGAGGGCTCTCACAGAACAAATGCAACATCACCTCTCCTTGAGCAAAGGTGCTTGTAGGCTGAATAGAGACTCAGCCTAAACTTTGGACGCTTTCTGTTATAAACGTGCTTTTTAGAAGGAAAAAAAAATCAGAAAATGCTGCACTGAGTGAAGAGAGGAAACTGCAGTATGACTTCAGAGAGGAAAACCTCATAACGATGTTACTGAGGCAACTGATATCCTCTGGTGGAAACAGCATTTGCTGCCCAAAGAGGGGGATGATGTCATGTTTCAATGCAGGTTTGCTCAGTTGTGTTTCTTAAAGTCGAAATGGAGATAATTTCCCTGTCCTCAATAGCAGTGTACAGCACTTTGTGCGTGATCTGCCTTTCCTGGTGGCACCCAGCACTGCACCTCTGGGAGCCTGAGCAGCATTCCTAACTCTTGGGAGCATAAACAAAGGCTGCAGGATCCACTGAGTTGCCCCTTTGCCAGGATGAAGTAACCTACTGTTTATTTCAGATATTTATTTTTTTAAGCGTGGAGCTCTGAACATTTACGTCTATCAAGTCTTCCCGTTGAATTCCGTAGGTTTCATGCCAAAGTTGTAAATTGGTTTTAGCTCTTCCACACTGTGAGAGAACTGGGGCATGAGATGTGAATACGTGTGGGACTAGAACACTTTGCATTTGTTGCTGAGGAGGAATTTACCGAGTTGTGACCGTTCCTCCACAAACACTGCGAGGCAGAGCTGGTTCCCGTCCTCTGGCTGTAGTGCCACCCCTGGGCTGGAGCCGGTGCACTGATTTTTATTGTGTCTTGTTTATCTCATTGCAAGGCTTTTAAAAAATAATGCCTTTTCTGAGCAGCGAGTGGGCGTTTGTTTTGGTTTGTGCAGGAGACAATAGACGCTCATTTATTTTTCATGGTGGTTGGGTCAAGAGTTGAGCCATTTGCCTTTACCTCAGAGAGCTTATCAGGAGTTTGTGTAGCTACTGTTGTCTGCCTGAAATATGTGGGCAGATGTGGATGTTATTTTATTTTCTTTAGTGCCAGAATGGCGAGTCCTCACATTAAAGCCTTGTCTGAGCCCCTGCTGAGACAGCACCTCTGACCCGAGCTCAGGACCCGGTGTAAGAGTCCTTCTGGTGACTTTGGAGTTACACTGTTATTATTTGGTAATAGTAAATTACGGGTTTGGAAGTATCAGTGATTAAATTGTCAACTTCTCTGACCTCTGGCACCTCTAATGCAGAGTCAGAATACTGTAATAACTTTTGGTAAGTGCTGCTTGTTGAAGAATTTCAGCCTTGTGGTGTGTATTGTGTGTCAATCAAAGTGTCCTGTCCCTTCAGTTCTGTCTGTTAATGGGGTCTTTTTTCAGTTTGTGTATTTTGTTATGAAGTTCTCAATGGAGAATTGTTGCAGGCTGTGCAGAGATTGGAGCTGAGCTGGTTGATGGTCAGGGAAGAGCAGTCAGTGTAGTGTGGGGTTCAAATTTGGTGCTGCTCCTCACACACAGAGTTCATGGATGTTGACAGGAGCAAAGGACTGCAGGCATTCCAAATTATAGGGTATTTAGTGAGCTGTAATAAAGCTTTGTGTACACAAGAAAATGACTCTGGCAACGAAAATTCATTGACTTCTGAGCTAGTAAGTTATGTCTTAATTAGTAAACCAAGGCACAGCTTGTCTTAGGTCATACTGTCGTGTGCACAGATATATAGTTACTGAGAGGGCAGTGAGAATTATC